AGGCTGGAAAAGTCATCGAGAAAGGAGGGTGGGCACTCAATGCTGGAAAGACGAACCATCTTCTCTGTCTTCGAGGGGAGGGGAGTTACCAGGCAACACGGAGGCTAAGAAGGTCAAAGGAGCTATGCGGAGCTGCCTGCAGAGAGGTTCGGGCCCTGGGGCCATACATTCCGTCGGACCAGGGACTGCTGGGTGAAGTATCTCGGCGATGTGCTGCTGCAAAGATGGCGTGGAGACAATGCGGGGCTTTCCGGAAGGCGCGAACAAGTAAGACAATAAAAAAAGATGAACAAATAAGAATTTAAGTATTGGGGTCTCAACGACGCAGCCACAACTCTTCGAATGAGACGGTTAAAATGGTACCAGGCGTGGGCTAAGTACCCAGAGCAGCACAGCGGAGTTCTCGCGGCTGTATTTGGGGACTCTCGCCTGGGTCAGTTACGGCAGACCCCGGGGATGACCCCAGACAAGTACGTGTGGCCCCCAGGTAGTGCAGGTCAGTCTACTCCGTGGGCTATCCAGTTTCGAGAGGACATGGACGAGCTTGCCCAGGTGGATGAGAGCATGTCGGTTTGGTATAATGCTCGTGCCAGCGACTTGGACATCTTCCTACCAGGTACCGAGGCACATGATAGATGGCCACTGGTCGATCCTCATATCCTAGGGAACACAAAGAAAAGAAGAGAGGTGGGTCCCGAGGGCCAGGGGAAGGAGGAGGAGGGCATCGCCGACGAGGAGGTTACACTGGAGGAGCTGGAAAAACCACACCGGTGTGACCATCAGGAGGGAGGAGGAGGGATTTGCGGAGAAAGGTTTTCGAGCATCAGCGCCCTGAAAAGGCCACGTAAGAGAGGCGCGCAACATCAGGGATGCCCTCTCCAATATAGTCATCACCAATCAGTGCCCGTGGTGCCTCTCGGGGTTCTCTACGAGGAGGGTGGCCCTAGATCATTGCGTGCGTGCATGTCAAAGACACGGAGTGTGCCACGTGGATAAATCAAGATGGCCCCGCCCGATCCTCCCCCCAGAGTCGCTGGTCTGTAACATTTGTGATCAAGAATATCCTGACATCGCGAGTTTTCACCAGCACGCCCGCTGCCGCTACTTCGGCCCAGACACTGTCGCGGGCGCCCATGATGAAGGGATGGGGGATCGGCAAGAGAGGAGCAGACGGCAGCGGGAGTGGAGACCTTCCAGTAGCAAAATTGCCGAAGGGCAAGGGTGGCAAGAATGCTCGCCAGCAGGGAAATGCAGCAGACGGAGACATCGTACAAGCGGTGATGGCGGTGCAAAAGCTCAGCCTCAGGACAGCAGCCGTCGCCAGAGATCTATCAGATATCGTCGGAGAGTTCTGGCTCGTGCCGTCAGGTCACGACATCGTCGAAGTAGCAAGAGAGACGGGCTCGAGTGACAACGAAAAAGTGCAGTCCCTCGGAAAAGGGCACGGTCTAGGGCCACCGTGCCTCCACGTGTCGGTGGCGGCGATCGAGGCGATGGCGACGAGCCTGGGCGAAAACGAGCAAGAGGAGGCGCAGGCGAAGATCAGCATCGCGCAGTGGGTAGAGCAGGCGGAGTCGGAGGCGGGGCAGGCGTTCGTAGGAGAGACGATCAGAATGTTCAAGGTGAGCGACACGTTCAGGGCGGACGACGAGATGGACGACGGGAACCACATGACGAAGGTCATGTTCGCCCTCAGCCCATGCTACGACATCGCGACGGCCACGGAGCAGATGAAAATCCAGCCGACGGGAGCCAAGCCGCCGACAGAGTTCAACGGCGTGCGGCTCCTTCTGGCAATGGGAGTGGCGTTGCACAAGGCGGGGGGGGGGGGGGGGCACAGGCCAGGAGGGGGCGGGCCGAAGGAGGAGCTAGACAGGGTGGTCGAGCGCCAGTTGAAGGCGCTGCATAAGAAATTGTAGTGATCATAGGCAGTAGGTCTGAGAGAGAAGCAGAGCTTGTAGCAGCAATGCAGTCAGACCCCATGGCCAAGATAGCAACCGACCCAGTTGCAATGACTAGACTCAGGCAAATGAATGTTGAAGGGTCGCAGCACGCTAAGAGACTTTTAGAGAGAGCAGAGATTTTTCGTTCTAAATTTAGTGCAGAGCTGAGGGCTAGAGAATGAGTTGAGGGTGTGATGCCTTCTATCGAGGGCCTACTGGTTGGCCCTGGTAGGCGGGTTCTGGCCCTTGGGGCTCCGTCGACCAGGAGACGGCTGGCGGGCTGACGGGAGAAGGCCGATGCCCTGCCCAGCCTTGGCTGCGCGCTGCCAGGGAGCAGCATCCGCCAAGACCGCCCCATCTCCGCCTCTTTCCCCCTCTCTGAGAGTGGCCTCTCTCCTTCTTCTTCTCCCTCCCGCGTGTGCTGAAAGCGGGTGCCTTCCCGCTCAGCGGGGCACCCCCCCGCCTCAGCGAGGCAGGGGGCCGCCCTGAGCATGCGCCCGTGCGATTATAAATGACGCAGGGCGCGTGAGAGATCCGCGCAGGGGAGCTCGAGACGCTGTAGCTGCAGCTGGATATGCACCCCCGAGCGCAGAGCCGAGCCGAGCCGAGCCTCCTCCTCCTCCTCGCACGCGGGGTGTCCCCAGGAGGTGTGGGTGTTTTTTTGTTCTTCCACGCGCGGCGCGTCGCTGTCCTGGTGCCGCGGGTGTGAAGATTTCTGCGCTTCTGCCCCGCTGTGGTCCGCTCGGGGTGCTTGCTCTGTTCGGGATTGCTTCGCCTGTTGCGGCTAGAGGGTCTTTTGCTGCGTGCCTTTTCAGCAGCTACTTGGGGCTCAGTGGCATCGAAGGCTTGTACAGTGAGCGGCTTGCATAATGAACATTTACTTTTCAAAAGGGGCTCGGTCGTCTCTTCGATTGCAATGCGTTATTTACAGTTCCTTATGCGTTATTTGTTATTTATCGTTCCTTATGCGTTATTCCCTGGGATAAAAAAAGGGCTTCGTTCCTTATTTATCGTTTCTTAGGTCAACGCCCCGAATGTGCCATTGGTCAAATCAATTACTCGAAAAATGGCGGGCCGTGCGTAGTCCAGAGAAGCCAGCCGCAGTGGGCCACGGTGTTCGGCCAAAGTCGGTGCCGTTCCCTGCCGCTGCTGCCGCTGCCGCTCCAGGAGCTCAGGCTCGTGAGCGTATCGCTGTCGAGGGCGGCGCTGCAGAGGAGAAGGCTGATATGGCGCTCAAGCTCGGTGTCATCAGCGCTCAGCGTACAGTCGGGGCGCTGGACAAGGAACCCTTTTCGTTGGGGAGGGGATCGGTGTTCCTTGGTTGTTTTACAGTTTGCTTGGGGTTTCCCTTCTGTTTTCGATGGGGAATCGAAGTTCAACTTATGGGAAAAGGGGCCTCGTTCCTTATTTAGGGTTCCTTAGGTCAACGCCCTGACTGTGCTCAATTCACTCTCAAGGTTTCGGATCCCCTCTTCACTTCAACGAAGGACGCCCATGACAAAACATACCTCCCGCGCGTGAACGGCCAGAAGGGGCACGGCTTGGGCGCCCCCGACAGCTTCATGTTCATTGGTGCCGTCGTGACGCTGATGCCGCGCGCGAACCCTGATCAGCAAGCCATTCTGCGTACATATCTCGACAACGTTGTGCCAGGCAACGTTCAGTTCCAGCTTCTTGCCAAGCTCTTCCGCACAAAAAATGTACGACTCCAAGGCGCGTGGGCTGATGATCGCAGTCGCTGATCCCACTCTCGAGGCCACGGCCGTGCAGCTGTTACTCGCTTCGAAGGAGGAGGCTTCTGTTTTCACGGGTCCGCGCCCTGCTGGCTACCTCGGGCTCGAGGGGCAAGGTTTGATTGCTCCTAAGTAGCTGGAGGCTCCTGAAAGCAGCAGCTCGGACGATCTTCGGCCGTGCGCCGACGTATGCCGAAAAGCACCGTCGCTGGCCCTCCAGTGGTGGACTGCCGAGGACGACTTTTGAGGGGGGAATCCCATTTAATCTCCCTAGATCGTTTGTGTTTCGGTCTCAGTGGAGCCTTACCTTACCTTACCTCCTCCTCCTCCTCCTTCCTCTCCTCATTTTATTTCTCCTCCTCTTCCGTCTTCTTCTCCTTCTCCTCCTCCCCCTCCTCCTCTTCCTCCTCCTCCTCCTCCTCCTCCTCCCCTCCTCCTCCTCCTCCTCCTCCTCTTTCTCCTCCTTCTCCTCCTCCTCCTCCTCCTCCTCCCCCTCCCCCTCCTCCTTCCCCTCCTCCTCCTCCCTTCCTCCAACTCCCCCTCCTCCTCCTCGTCCTCCTCCTCCTCCCTCTTCCTCTTCCTGGTCTTCCCCTCCTCCTTCTCCTCCTCCTCCTCCTCCCATCCTCCTCCTCCTCCTCCTCCTCCTCCTCCTCCTCCTCCTCCTCCTCCTCCTCATCCTCCTCCTCTTCCTCTTCCTCCTTCCCCTTCCTCCTCCTCCTCCTCCCTCCTCTCCTTCTCCCACTAACCTCCTCCCTGCCTCCTCCTCCTCTCCTCCCTCCTCCTCCTCCTCCTTCCTCCTCCTCCTCTTCCTCCTCCTCCTCCTCCTCCTCCTCCTCCTCTTCCCTCCTCTCCTCCTCTTTCCCCTCCCTTCCTCCTCCTCCTCCCTTCCCCTCCCTTTTTCCTCTCCTCCCTCCTTTCCTCCAACTCCCCCTCCTCCTCCTCCTCCTCCTCCTCCTCCTCCTCCTCCTCCTCCTCCTCCTCTCCTCTTCCTCTTCCTCTTCCCCCTCTCCTCCTCCGCCGCCTCCCTCCTCCTCCTCCTCCCCTCCTCTCCTCTCATCCTCCTCCTTCCTCTCCCTTCTTCCCCTTCCTCCTCCTCCGCCTCCTCCTCCTCCTCCTCCTCCTCTTCCTCTTCCTCCAACTCCCCCTTCCCCTCCTCCTCCTCCTCCTTCTCCTCCTCCTCCCTTTCCCCCTCCTCCTTCCTCTCCTCCTCCTTCCCCGTCTTCTTTTCCTCCTCCTCCTCCTCCTCTTCCCCTCTTCCTTTCCCTCCTCCTCCTCCTCCTTTTCCCGTCCTCCTAGGACTCGGCCGCTGTCCTCACCTCCGCAGGCGAGCTGAAGCACCGCCGCAGGCTGAAGGCGGCCGCCATCCGCCAGGGCGAGCCCTGGCAGACCGAGGGCCCAGTGCCGCTCCCGTGGGAGGAGGACGATCGGGGCGGGGCTGCCGCGCCAGGCCTCCAAGTCGGCAGCACAAGAGAAGAGGGAGGGAAGGGAGGGGAGGGAGGGATCGTGGCACGTGTTCGTGCTCCCGTGTGTCGTCCGAGGGGCCCTTGCCGCCAGAGCTGGATCCGCCTCGAAGGTCTGGTCACAGAGGCCCCCTTTGTCAGCCAGGGCATTCTGCAGCATGGATTCTGAGTGGATTCTGTATGGATTGTCCCATCCGAGGCGTGGATCCGAGCTTCCCACATTCATTTTCGTGTGTGTTCGATGTAAAGCTGGTAGCGCCGAGCTCGAACTAGAGCTCGAACACAAACCCAATCCCTATCCCCGTACCACTTACTGTCTAAACCGAGCTCAGGTGATGGTCACCATAAGTAGCAGTATTCGTAATTCTGGTGGTTGCGGTGGTTGTAGTAGCAGTAGTCGCAGTATTCAGGGATGCCCCGTTCGGGTTGGTTCGCTTCGATTCCGAAGTTCCTCCGGCTCGGTTCGGTTCGGTTCGGTGTCAGAACCCTTCCGGTTCGGTTCGGCTCAGCGTCGTGACTTTTGCCGCCCGTTTCGTTGTCTCTGTTTCTGCTTCGGTCCGCTTCGGATGCGGCGCGCTCGGCGCGACAGCGCCTGTGCTCCGCGGCGGCCCAGCTCGGGCAGCGTGTGCCTGGTTCGGCCCCATCCGCTCCGTTTTCGGTGCGCCTCTGCCGATGCCGCGGCTCCATCCGACCTGGCGCGCGGGTGCCGATTCATCGGGGGCGGAAAAGAGGGGGGTGATGACTAGGGGGGGGTGGATATCATGGCGGGGGCCATGATATTTCTGCAGATTTCATGGCGCCTCTTCTTATTTCATTACGTTCCTGGCCCCCCCCACTGGGCCGCGCACATGCCGCCGGTCATGATTTGCACCCCCCCCTCTTGGACACCCCCCTCTTGGCCGCTCCCGATTCAGGTGCCGATCCCATGGGGCAGGGAGGATGAAGGGGGAGAGGGCGGCGGGCGGAGGGAAAGGCGTCCTCGTCCGCGCCCTGGCGGCTTCCTGGCGCCGTCGGTGTGTCGCCGCCGTCGGTCGTGGTCCGTCGCCGTCGCCGTCGTCGTCGTCGTCGTCGTCGTCGTCGTCGTCGTCGTCGTTGGGCGTCGCCAGTCGGGCCTTACACTGCGTTTGCGATTGCCGGAAAAATCTACGGCGGAATATACAAAAATAGCCAAAAACTAATCAGGAGGCCATCTTTAGTATGTTTGACTATTTTTGAACATCGTTTGAGAATTTTTAATTTTTCGTCCAACATCCGCCTGTAGGAGGACACGCCTGACCTAAATTTACGGGCCCCGGGGGGGCCCGGGGTTCCTGGGGATCGGCCGTCGCCCTCCGTCGTCGTCGTCGCTATCGCTGGCTGCTGCTGCTGACCGCTTCCGTCCGCCTCTGGGCCAGGTTTCGATTTTGGGGGCCCCAGAGGGGACCAGGGGGTGTCATAGGGTTAGATCGGACATGTTCCCCTATTGGCGGATTTTGGACGAATAATGAAGAAGAGTCAAACATATGCAAGCATTGTTGAGAATAATCGACAAATCTTTCCCCTACCATTCTTGACTATTTTTGAATATTCTTCCTGTAGAGGGACAGGCTCGACTTAATCATAGGGGGCCCCGGATGTGTGAAAAGGGGCCTGTGAGGTGTTATGCAGCTTCGGACAGATGTTTGTATAGCCCCGGAGAGCTTGTCATCCAGGCCCAAGGAGGTGTTGGAACAGCCCCAGGAAGGTGTTAAATACGGCTCGGGGAGGTGTTGTACGGGCCTGGTGAGATACCTCGTAGGCCCCAGGGAAGGTCTTTCGATTTTTTTTGGCCCCCAGGGGTCCCCGAGTAAGATGTCAAACGGCCCCAGTGGGGTGTTATAGGGGCCCGCGGAGTTGTTATACGGGCCTGGGAAGGTGTCATACAGCCCGGGAAGGCGTTATACGGCTCCGGGGAAGGTGTTATCCAGTCCCGCGGAGGTGTTGTTCAGTTCCAGAAAAATGTGGTACGGCCTTGGGAAGGTGCTTCTCGGGCCTTGGGAGGGACTTCGTAGGCCCCTGGGGAGGTGTCAGACGGCCCCAGGGAGTGCTACAGGGGCCCGCGGAAGTGCTCGTCCCAGGCACAACGAAAGGACAAGCGATTGGTTTCTCTTTCCCCGTTCACACCACGGAAGGGCAAGCAAGCGATTGCTCTCTCATTCCCTCCCTTCCTCTCTCTCCCGTTCCCATTTGCGCGCGCAGCAAGAACAGACAACCTCGAAGGGGAATGTGGTTGCAACGGAGGCGGGAGCAAACACTGCAATGCAAGCGCCTACACAGCACCACCAATGCAACAACCCACACGCAACCGCGAATGCAATGCAAGGCACACCTCGCCACGCAATTCAACCCCCCAGGCAGCACGGAAGGACGCGCGATTGTTCTTTCCTTTGTCCTTCTTTCTCTTTCTCTTTCTCTTTTTTTTGTTGTCTCATCCTCTCTCAATGTATACATATATATATGTATAAGAATGGCTATCTAAATCCTTTGCGCACACCGCACAAAACAATGAATAGCCTCGGAGGGGGATGTGAATACAAAGAAGGCGGAAGCAATCTACGCAACGCCACCGCCCACAACACCACCCATGTAACCACCCACACGCAACCGCGAATGCAATGCATCAACCCTCTACGCACCGCAGAAGGACAAGCGGTTGCTCTCTCTCTCTCTCTCTTTCTCTCTCGTTCGATTGTCTCTCTCTCTCTCTTTTCTCTCTCTCTCTCTCTTTCTCCTTCGCTTTTCGCACGCATCGCAGAGGAGGAACTAATAGAACCGTGCATGCACTTGCCCACACACCACAACGCAGATACGGAATCGAGAGGAGGAAACTGTTGCGCGCTCTCTCTCTGTCTCTATCTCTATGTTTTTTCCCTTCTGCCCCCCTTGTGCGCGTCACAGAAGAACTCACCTCCTCCTCTTCCTCCTCTGTGTACTATTCCTCCTCTGTGTCCTCCTCCTCCTCCTCCTCCTCCTCCTCCTCCCTCTTTCCTCCTCATGTTGTTATCTTTCAAATCCCCCCCAATAACAACAGAAATCGGCGAAGCCGTTCCGTTTGCTTTGGAAGGTGGGATAACAGCCACCTCTTTCTATTCCTCCTCTTCCTCCTCCTCCTTGTTCTTCTCCTTTATAAGTATATGTGCTTTTGGTATCTCTCTCTCTCTCTCCCTCTCGCTCTCTCTCTCTCTCTCTCCCTCTCTCTCCTCGCCCCGCCCAGGCAAAATTGGCGAAGGCACCCTGTTGGGTTTATGTTTGATTGTTTGTTGTTTTGGGGGGATTTGTTATTTTGGGGGGCGGGGGGGGTGAACGATGAGGAAAACAACAACGAAGGAGGAGAAGGAGAGAGGAGGAGGAGGAGGAGGAGGAGGAGGAGGAGGAGGAGGAGGAGGAGGAGGAGGAGTTCGAGGAGGTGGATGGGGAGGGGGAGAAGGAGGAAGAGGAGGAAGAGGAGGAGAAAGAGGATGAGAAAGAGGAGGAGGAGGAGGAAGAGGATCACGACGAAAAGAAGACATCACCAACATCAATCAACCATACAGGAATATCCTACGCTACACTTGCCAGAGCCACACGAAATCAACGAGGGGCTCCAAAATCCCTCGTTCTCTCCCTCTCCCCCTTCTCCGCCTGATCATCTCTGCCTCCCCGTTCCCCGCTTCCCTGCCCCCATCCCCCTCCTTACTCGCCTACTCCATAACCTCTGCCCCTCTTCTCCCCCCCTTGCGCGCCTCTTGTGCTCCCCTCTGTCCTCCGCCCACGTCTGCACCCGGCCCTCTCTCGCTGGGACCGCGCTACGGCCCCGGCAGGACCGCCCGGGGCGGCACCCGACGAAGGACAGCGCCGGGACGTGGGCGGGCGCCGTGCGGGAGCCCGGCGACCGCCCGGGGCGGAGCCCGGCGAAGGACAGCGCCGGGACGTGGGCGGGCGCCGTGCGGGAGCCTGGCGAAGGACAGCTCCGGGGGTGCGGAAGGGCGCCCGGGGGGAGCGGGCGCAGCGAGGCCGGCAGGCGAGGAGGCGGCGAGCGCAAGCACGGACCCAGGGGGCGAGGAGTGGCGACGGGTCCCGCTCTCATGGGGGATCGCGGGTTCCGCCGTCGAGCCGTCGAGCGAGGCGGCACGGGTCGCAGTTTTGGGGAGGGCGTCTCCCCCGATCCATGGCTTTGGCGACCGCGCGCCACATCCATGGATCGCTGAGCGCGCCTGCGAGAGGAGGTGGTGATGGGCCTGTCTTCCACCACCACCACCCCCACCACCGATCCCACCGAAATCGGCCCGGAACCAATAACTGGGAACCCGGGAGCCCGGAACCAGGAACCCGGGAACTTAGCCCGCCACCAAGATCGCGGCGGGAAAGTTTCGCCAAATTTTTCAACCTCCGCTAGGACCCCTTCAGTGCAAGCACTGATTGGGGAATATATATATGACACCAGGGAAAAAACCCAATCAGTGGATGGTCATGAAACACCATAGAAAAAATCATCTCACAATCGATTTCAATATCCAGGTCGCTAGCACGGATGTTGAGATCGATTGTGAAATCGATAATGGAATCGATGGTGAGGACGATTGTATAGTCGATCGTGAGACCGATGCTGAAGTCGATTCAATGAGATCAAGTATGATATCGATCGGGAGATCGCTCGTGCGATCTATAGTGAGATCGATTTGAGATTGATAGTGAGATCGATTGTGAGATCGATCATAAGATCGATAGCGTGGTGGGTAATGAGATCGACGGTGGGACCGATCGATGAGAAGATCGACAGGGAAAATGAGAATCCGGGAACACCGCCGCCCACCGAAATCGGCCTGGAACCGGGAACTCGGGAACCGGGAACCTTGGAACCCAGCGTGCGACCAAAATCGGCGCGACATTTTCGCCAAATCCTTCAACTTCCGCTACGACCCCTTCAGTGCAAGCACTGATTGGGGAATAATATAAATATGTATATACACACACGTATGTAAACATGTGTCTATACAGATATGTACGCATGCATGTGTATCTTTACAAGTAGGCACGCACCGCTAGTCGATTTGTCCCGTGTGCTCTACCCTGTTGCTTAACACGAGGGTAGGTGCTACACCATACTCATTAATGCCTACTTCCACCTCCCCATACAATATGTTTCTTGGGAGTTTGACATTTTGCTCGTGTCTCGCTCTTCAATGTGCGCTTCCGTATGTGAGCCCGCTTTCGCTCTTATTGCACCCTGCGCCCACGGTCATCCTCTCTACTTACTTCATGTATTTTCGCACGCCGTGTCGAACTCTCTCATTTTCAATTGCGCTGCCTTCGCGACGGATCCTCTATGCCTGTCAGGAGAAGCCAGGCGCGGCGAAGCGCCCGGGCAGCCGCTCATGACCCTCGACATGGCTGAGCAGATGGACCCGCGTCTGGGTCAGGCCGCCTGCTCGGCCCCCGGCGCCCCGGCGCAGTCTGCAGCAGGACGAGGACGAGGAGGAAGCACGGGAAGAGGAGGAGGAGCAGGAGGAGGAGGAGGAGGAGGAGGAGGAAGTGGAGGAGGAGGAGGAGCAGGAGGAGGAGGAGGAGGAGGAGGAGTGGAGTGGAGTGGAGTGGAGTGGAGTGGAGTGGAGTGGAGTGGAGTGGAGTGGAGTGGAGTGGAGTGGAGTGGAGTGGAGTGGAGTGGAGTGGAGGAGGAGTGGAAGTGGAGTGGCGTGGAGCACACCGAACAAAGCGGACGAGTGCACGAGCGCCCGCCGCCCTCGGCCGCCCGGCGATCGCCGCGGGGGGCAGGCGGCGCGCAGACTTGCGCGGCGCTGGGCCGAGGGCCCCTCGGACAGGGGCCTGGCACCGCTCAGACGTGTGCAGTTTTGTCTCGGCGAGAAACCTCGAGGACCATCCTTCAGGAGGGGACAAAAACACACAGACACAATTCATCGTTGACTCCCAGGAAAATATAGGAAAATATGGGAAGTGGGGGGGAAGACAAAAACCCAGAAGATATGCGAAAACATGGGGCATATTCTTATTTGTGTGTATTTATGTGTGTGTGTCCCAGGGCCCCTTCAATCCTGGGCCCTCGAGCAGAACAAAAACACACACGCACGAGACCGACAACTTGCACGGGAAAATGGACGCCCGAGCGACGGCACGGGGGGGGCGTGGTGGGCTCCACCCTCGGCCCAAGAGGAGGAGGAGGAGGAGGAGAGGAGGAGGAGGAGGAGGAGGAGGAGGAGGAGGAGGAGGAGGAGGAGGAGGAGGAGGAGGAGGAGGAGGAGGAGGAGGAGGAGAGGAGGAGGAGGAGGAGGAGGCCAGCGACGGGGGGCTCACGCCCAGCTCGCCCCGTGGCGAGGCGGCCCCGCCCCAATGGCCATGCACACAAGAGTCAGGAGGGGAGAAAGCACACAGACACAATCAATCAGCGATTCCCAGAACATCTGGGAAACTATGGGAAGGGGGGGGAATACCAAAAACCAGAAAAGATGGGGAAATATAAGGATAGTTTGATTGGTATGTATTTGTTTGTGTGTCCCAGTTCCCCTTCAAAGAGGCGGCGCGCGCCCCACGAAGAGGCGGCAGCGCGGCGAACAAGAGGCGCGAGGCGCACAGTGGGGGCGCGTGCCAAGAAACCAGCTGGATTTTGCCAGGGTGCCCTAGGTTTCTTGGATTGTGATGGGCTCCCAATCAGATCTTGACGATTTTCGATCGACACCTGTGGATTTTCATTGAACAAATCGCGCATTTCGGGGTGGTATTCTTGCGGAGGTTTCTTGTGGCCGAGTCCCCACTGTACCCGACACGCGCGCCAGGGGCGCCACATGCGCCAGGAGGCAGCAGCCAAGCCGGTGAACCGCCCCGCAAGCCCGTTCTGACCTTCCGAGGCTTCAGATGACGACACGCCGCGCGTGCCGCCCCGATCAGCCACCCGAGGGGCACCATTCCCTCGGGGACAGCCCGCCCCCACGCACGCCACGGCGGGGGACCGTGACCGTGGGAAGAATGGACGGGGATCCTCCGATGTCATTGGAGGATCCTCCGATGTCATCATGTCGCGGGTCCCCCATGCGGGGGGGGGGGGGGCTCATCATGAGCCCCCCCTGCATGGGGGACCCGCGACACCACCCTTGCTCCAGCGGAATACTGGGAGGGCCACGCAAGGGTGTCGCAGCAAAACGTGGCAGACCCACAACCCAGGCACGGAACACGGAAGGAAAAGCCGCGCACTGAGGCCCTGGATTGCCCCCGCGCGCCACAAGGACGAGTCGGGCACAGCCCCGAGACCCCAGGCGCGACCCTTCCCCCGTGGCGCAGGCTGGGACGGCCTACGACTACCTTTTTCTCTTTCCCCCAGGGTCCCGAAGGAGCACCTGTGGTGACAAACGGGAGGCTACCCGCCTGTTTTCCTGGGGAGGGATCCCGGTGGCACAGGTGCCCGAGGAGGAGGAGAAGGAGGAGGAGGAGGATGATAAGGAGTACGAGCAGGAAAGGGAGTTGGAGGGGGAGAGGGCGAGAACGAGGAGGAGGAGGAGGAGGACGACGACGACGACGAACACGACAACGTATACTACGACGATGACGGCGATGATGACGAGCGCGAAGGCTGATCAGCAGCAGGCAGCAGGACGACGACGATGCATTGTAGGACGCGCGGGCAGCTTTGGAGCCACACTGGATCTGAAAACGCTGTGTTGGGATGCTTTGCTCCGGCTATCATTGCGTTCTCCCTCTCAATTGTTGCCCCCGCTGAGGGTTCGAAGTGCTCTCTCAATTTGTGTTCTCCTGAGAGATCGCGTTATTTTTTACTAAAGGGCTCCTGTATGAGTGAAGAAGCGTCACCGCTCAATTTCTCCAGAGCGTCCCATCAGCGAGCCGTTGCAAGTAATATGTGGTGCATGTGTGCATGTGCGTGCGTGCGTGCGTGCGTGCTCGCGTGTGTGTGTGTGTGTGTGTGTGTGTGGTCTTGTGCGTGTCTGTCTGTGTGTGCGTGTGTGTGTGTGTGCCTCCTCCTCCTCCTCCTCCTCCTCCTCCTCCTCCTCCTCCTCCTCCCCCGCACGAGAAAGCTCCCTAACGGTATGACGACGGCATGAGCCGTCCATAAGCAGATGCCCCCAGAGTCCGCCGGCAGGAGGAATGGAGGGAGGAACAGTTGCATCTGACGGGTCTGGCAGCAGATCCGTGAACCACTCCAACGTCACCCCCGTCGACTTAGCAGGAGGAGGAGGAGCGGCATCCCCAGGGTGCTTGAAAGCCCCGTACAAAGAACCGATTCAGGTGCGTCTGGGCCTACTTCGCGGGCTTCCCCTTGAAGCCATGGGGGTAGTACAGCATCTCTCTCCGACTGTGCACTCGGGCATTCGTAGATGCGGTAGGACAAGGTGCCCCTGGCCTTTATTCACAATGGTCCGAGAAAACATATCTTGCAGAGGCAACATCTCCTGCAATCCAACGCGCCTTGGTGGCCAAAGCTCTGACCCAACCCTTGGTGTTGCCCCCGACCTCCCTTGGCCCCAAGACGTGTGTGGCCACATCCCAACACAGTCTGAAACCAGTGCCGTACCTGTCCCCAGCGTCACGCTCGAAAGACCGAAGAGCAGCTCCTTCACACAGAAGCTTTGACAAGCTTCGGACTGGACAGGGCCAGCGACCTCTCTCGGTCAACGTCGTCAATAATGGCACAGAAGTTCGGCATCGAGCAGCCAACTCTGTAACGAATCATTCTTGGAGCAGAGATGGGGCCTCGCACGGAGGCCCAATCACGCTGGTCCGGGGGAAAACACGACTCCCAGCCATCGCGCATTTCGGCCCAGGAAAGAGGCCACGGGAAGGCGCCGGTTCTCAAAATCCAGATTTTTCCTTGGGCCACCGACGTGATGGAGGCGCGGTTGCCTCGCCACGTCGTGTCGCCCTCCGGGAGCGATATAAAGCACATTGGGGCCCGCCCTGAGCCCTGGGTTTGATGCGCGACCTGGCCATCCTCCGCAGCAAGAGCAGCTCGCGGTCCGAGGCACCGTGGAGGTCCGAGCCGTACACGGCTCCCGCCAGGGGGCCCGCGGCAAAAAACCCGGAGGGCCTTGCGCCCCAGCGCCGCGCCGAGGCCCTGCAGCCGCTCGGCTTTACCAGGGGCGGCGGCGGCACGAGCGGTCATTTTGGCGGTCCTGCCTCCTCCTCCTCCTCCTCCTCCTCCTCCTCCCTCCTCTCCTCCTCCCTCCTCCCCTCCTCCCCTCCTCCTCCTCCTCCTCCTCCCTCCTCTCCTCCCCTCCTCCTCCTCCTCCTCCTCCTCTCCCTCCTCCTCCTCCTCCTCCTCCTCCTCCTCCCTGCCTTTCCCAGGGCCTCGAGCAGGGCGGCCCGCAGTGAAGTCAGCGGGCCAGGGGACTCCTGCAGGTGTTGAGGCACAAAGCTGCTGCTGCTGCTGCTGCTGCTGCCGACCATGCCGACCTTGTCCAGGGCCAGCTTGCACCGGAGCGTGCTGCTGAAGGCAGGGTGCAGAGCCCGAGTTCTACGGGTGAGAGCGGCGATGCTTTCCTCAGCCGAACCGGTGGCACTCATGCTAAGGTCCTCTTATGTAGGCATCACAGTGGCACCTGCCAGGCCCGGGGGGGATACTGTCGAGCGCCTCCATCGCAAACATTCTGATGAGGCTAGTGGCAAGCGAGCAGCTCGCCACAATGCCTTGCTTCACAAACTACGGGCCTTCTACTACAATGCCTCCAGGAGCCAGGAATCGAGCCGACGAATAGGTCTGGATGGCCAGCCTGGCAAGCCAGGCAGGAGAGCGGTGCTGGAGACACTTATGCCACAAGACATTCAGATCTATGTGCTCATAGTACTTCCGAATCTCCCAAAGCATAGACGCCGTGCACTGGCCGCTGCGGGTCCCGCGTTCGGCCCTGACGATCTGTCTCCACGCGACATCCCCAGCCCCTCGGAAGGCTCCAGCAGCCCAGAAATCACGAGGGAAGGCACGCTCCCATCTTAAAGCCTCGTTCCTCCTGGCGCGACCCCAAATGCGGTGCCAGCTAGCGCAAACTCCTATGGGCCTGAAGCCTCTAGCTGTTTCTTATTCTAATAAGGCCACATGAACCCAGGCAATCTGCGCAGTAAGAACACCCGTTCTCTCCACGACGGCAAACCACAACGCTAACGTTTGGAGCGCGACGTCAGGGAGGAGGGCAAACTGTCGGCAGTGGAAGCCGTCCACACTGACAGCTGAAGCAGGCTTATACTTCTTAGAGATGGCACGCGTCTCAGAAGGCTCCAAACGGAGCGAGTGGGGAAGGACAACCTGCCAACACCTTAACCGAGTGAACCTTGCCCGCTACCCTGTTCCCAAATCATACTGAACTTGTCCCCTTCCGCCTTGAGAAGGCTGGCGGGGTCCGCAACCACCGCGCCGCATCGCG